ATGACAAAGAAAATCAAAGTTCCAAAATTCAATCGAGTTCAGCTCAATTCAATCAATATGTTTATCATTCCCTCCTCTGTGCACAGCTTCATGATAGATGCTGAGTTACAGCACTGCAGAAAGACACGTTCACATGATTGCAATCAAGCACGGCAAGTAGCAATAGCAGTACGTAGAGACAGGCAGCGTCAGGGAGATAGGGAGGAACTTTGTCTGGAGGGTCTGAGTACTTTCAAAGGGAAAAGGACATCTCGGTAGAGGACACAGCATGGGCTTCGGCCTAGAGGCAGGAAGCTGCGTTGTGTCCAGAGAGCTGAAGGGAGCTGGTAAGACTGAAGCCTGGATTTGGAGTCAAGTGCACACGGGGTGAGAAAGTGAAGGAGAGACGAGCAGGAGCTGGCTTGCAGGAGGCCTTACCGAGGCGTTTGGTTTGATCTTTGGGCTATGGGGTCTTCAGAGGTTTGTGAGGTGTGACATGATGAGACAGTGTTTTAGAAACACCCCTGGGGCTGCAGTGTAGGAGACAAGTGGGAGGGTCCCACCGATACAGGCAAACTGGCCTGAACAGTCAGTGGTCAAGGAGATGAAGCAGAGGTGTAGTTTCAAGAAATATTAAGGACGTTAACTGGTGGGGCTTGATGGTTTACAAAAAGTCTGGTGAGGGAGAGGAAGAGCTCGAGGATGAGCCCCAGTTTCTGGTTTGTGTGACTGGGTAGATGAGGTGCCACCAGCTGTCCACAGAATAGCCACCATCTCTACACACACACACACACACACACACACACACACACACACACACACACTGTGTCTTCCCTTTACCCCTGCTCTTTGTTCCCAAGCCAGAAATGCAAAAACCTGGGGGAAAACAGAAAACCTCCCTGAAAGGTCTCATGTTGCTCCACAGTGTGGTGCTTGGTGACGTTCACCTAGTGAGGCCAGACCCTGGCAGCTTCTTCCAGAAAGCACAGAATGGAAACCAGGGCCCTTACCAGGTGCCCGCACCCTTGTCTGGCCACACGGAGGGCTTCCCTGCTCCTACCACTTTGCTGTGCCCAACCCTTTTTCTCATCGCTTGACCGCGGCCGGTCTGTATGTGGGATCCGAACCCTCGGTGGGAGCGCTGCCGTGCTTCCCAAGCGGCACACTGTAGCAC